GTTGTCCTTTGGTGTCTGGCTTAATTCATTTAATATAAAGTCTTCAAAGTTCATCCATGTCATAGCATGTATCACAATTTCATTTCTTCCTGAGGCCAAACAATATTCTGTTGTATGGATAAATCACATTTTGTTTATCCATGTATCCATCAGTGGGCATTTGGGTTGTTCCTACCTTTTGGTTATTGTGAATAATGCTGCTATGAACATTGGTTTGCAAGTATCTGTTTGAGTTTTTGTTCCCTTTCTTTTTTTAAAAATTTCTTATTTATTTATTATTATTTTTGAGATAGGATCTCACTCTGTTGCCCAGGCTGGAGTGTAGTGGTGGGATCATAGCTGACTGTAGCCTTGAACTCCTAGGCTCAAATGACCCTCACGCCTCAGCCTCCCAAGTAGCAGACACTACAGGTGCATGCCACCATGTCAGACTCCTGCTTTCAATTCTTTTTTTTTTTTTTGAAACGGAGTCTTACTCTGTCTCCCAGGCTTATCCCAACTCAGGAATCACAGAAGCAGATTTTGAATAATGAGTGGGATGTTGATTTGTGGAGAGTAAGGGAAAAAGGAACTCCACATAGAAGAAATAGCAAAGCAAAGAGAAAGAGTCATAAAAGTGAATAGCATTGCCGGTAACCACAAGTGAGATGGTGTGGCCAGTGTAGGTTTCACTGGTCAACGTCATGAGAAAACCAACAAGGTGGTTTGGGACTATGTCATGGAAAGTTTTGAACCTGAAGCTAAGGAAATCTTAATATTTTAAATTAATAATCTGCACCTTTTATTTCCAAATTATATTGAAAGTTAGGGGATTTACTTATATTTAAATACAATTTAACAATTGTAGAGTGCATTGTCATAAAAGTTTAAGCCTGATGCTTTTTACTTGGGTAAAAATGATATTTAAATGACAGTAAGAAATTTTTAAAAACCTTTCTTACATAGTCATCTATCCACAGTGAGTCTCTCTGTGTGTATGTATGTGTGTGGTATGTGTGTGCAGTGTCTGTATGTGCCTATCTGTGGGGGGCATGCAGTGTGCATGTGTCCGATGTCCATGTCTGCATGTGTGGTGTGGTGTATGTGTGTGTAGTCTGTGTGTGTGTGTATGGTATAATGTAATGTGTGTGTCTGTGTGTGTGTGGTGGGTGGGTGTTCAATGTCTGTGTGTGTGGTGTGTGTGTGGTGTCTGTGTGTGGTATGGTGTGGGGTATGTGTCTGGTATTTGTGTGTCTGTCTCTGAAGGGTGTGTGTATGTGATGTGTGTGTGCTCTGTGTGGGTTTGGTGTCTGTACATTCCTGTGTGTGGTGTATCGTGTGTGTGAGTGTTTGTGTGTGTGTGTGTGGCAGCTATGGGAAGGTGTCCCTCAGATCTCCAACTGCAGGGAGTGTGACCGGGCAGCCCAGCTGCTGTGCTCTGAGATGCATTGCTACATCCACTCCAAGACCCTCCTTCCTGGACGGAGGGCTGCAGGTCACTAAGGCAGCCTTCCCTCGCAGTCTGATGGGCAAGCTTGGCTCAAGGATTGGGCAACAGCCTTGTTGAGCTCCTGAGCACTGCAGAGCAGCCTGGAGCTTCTGTCTAAACTTCCTCCCTCCCTTCTCCTTCACTCATGGCCCAGGCTTGCCTTGCAGCCTGATGGCTCTTCCTGTCTCCTCAGCTCCCTCCTCACTGCCTCTCACAGGCCTTTCCCCTAATGAATTTCTGGCACAATCAATCCTGTCGTGGCATCTGCTTCTGGGAGGACCCAGAATACACAGTGGGGACAGGAATGAGTTGAGAAAGTAGGCACGGAGCTGGGATGTGGAACTGGCCCACCCGCCCTAGCAGGTGGAGAGGTTGCGTCCTGGCTGGGAGCTGGGTCACTTCGAGTCCCTGGCCTAAGGCTCCAGATTTGACCAGTAGTGGCCTGGCAAATGTTCTGGGAGGGGACAATGTGGCGCGTGCCATGATGCAGGCGTTTTAAGAATACGGGTGGAAAATGCCTACAAAAAAAGGCAGAGCGGGCTGGATGTCACTCAGCTGTTTTGATGCACACAGAGGAAAGAGAGACAAAGGCCTGTTCATGCGGGGCCCTGTGACCGCTGCCAAAGAGGCCTCCAGCTCCTGCAGAGGAAGAACAGACGCACAGCTCAGAGGCAGGCTGAGGACCTGATTGTTAGAGTCGTGGAGCTCCAGAGAGGTTTAAATGCTCGGCCAAGGCAGGTCTGTTATGCAAAGGTCAGGGCTCTTGTGGGGAAAAGCTAGGATCCTAAATATGGGAAAGGGCTATGTAGGTGCTGGCTGCCAGATCGCCCCTGAAGATCTGGACTCCGCACTCTGCTCAACCCCTTGGGCTTGTGGAGGTGGCCCACCCCTCCCTAGGAAGGCCTAGCCTTCCCACTAAGCTGGCAGATGCTGGCAGGTTCCCCGCACCCACCAAGGCAGCAAGTGCCCGCTGAGGAGCCATGCCTGCCCTCCTCCTGACTTCAGGGAAGTGTATTAGCAAAGACATTCAGTGCCAGAAGAGAAGGTGAAGGAATGGAGTCTGACCATTAGACCTGCTCCTGCGTTAGACAATGCTGGGAGCAATCCTTCACTACCTGCTCCATTAAATTCTTGCTCTTGGAAGATAACACTGTGAAGCAATTAAAGTGGCTTCTTATGAAAACTAACAGCTTGCTCATAAAGGCTCACTTCAACACCCTCATCTCAGCGGGGCACAGTGACTCACACCTGTAGTATCAGCACTTTGGGAGGCCGGGATGGGAGGACTATTTGAGGCCAGGAGTTCAAGACCAGCCTGGGCAACTTAGTGAGAACCCATCTCTACAAAAATAAAAACTAAAAAATTAGCTGGATGTGGTGCCACGCCCGTAATCCTAGCTACTCAGTAGACAGAGGCAGAAAGATAGCATGAGCCCAGAAGTTTGAGTATGCAGTGGGCTCTGATGGCACCACTGTATTCCAGCCCAAGTGAGAGAGTGAGACTCTGTTTCAAAACAAAACAAAACAAAACAAAAGACCCTCACCGCCTTGTGTTCACCTCTTCAAGCCTATTATATCTTAATTTTGCCCAATCTCATCTCATTGTCTCAAAATCACATAATCTGGGCCGTAACACCCTCCAACACCCTTTCCTAATTTCTCTGTTTTGAGATACTTCTAAAACTCTGACACTGTAGTATTCTCCCTTACTGCTATAGGTCTCATATACTCAGATTTGCTTGATCAACAGATTTTTCTGGAAAAACAATAACGAACACAAAATATACATGGATCATAGTAATATAGAATAAATGTAACATACTAGCCATTCTCACTACAGTGCTGACCTATTCTACCCATGGTGTGTCTGGCCTGAGTCAGTTCTGATCTGCCCACTTTCTCAACAGGGAAAAGGTAACACACATTTCAGAAATGCATATCAGTCTGAGAACGGAATCTAATCCTGAAATATATAAATGAATGCTCTTCACATTTCAGGTTTAAAGAAACAGTATTTGCCTCACCCGAAGGAGGAAATAATGATTTTTTTCCTCCTGTAAGGGTTCTTGGTTAACTCTACCCTGTTTGTTTTACTTAAAATGTTACATACTTTGCATTTATTCAGTTGATTAAGATTTATCTTGCTTAGTTAATGACTAACTTCTGGCTGGCCTTTTTAGGTTGTGAAATAGTTGTCAGGTCTGTGTTTGCATATATTAGAGATATAAAGAACAGTATCTAGTACACCTAGGCTATTTGAGCACTTGGAGCAAAGATCAGATTTTGACAGGAATGCCCCTGTTAATGGATCCAGAGTTTGGCCCCATTAACAAGAGGCTTCATTGTTCGAATTGGTCATTTGGGAATTATTGTAATTATTCTGACAAATGAAGAAAACAAACCTATCAAAAGACTTTATTTATTTGTTGCTGTTATTTATGATTTTAAAATGTGTTTCTATGGGTTTTAAAATATGTTCATACTATAATAGGTATGAAAACAGACATAATAACTTTTCCCACATACTGCTCCTGTCTCAAATACAAATTCTGCACAAACATATGCAAATTATGCACAAATTCTACTCCCTGCTCTGTAGATACTCCTTGAAAATTGAGTACAGATCCAGGGTTCACAAATCTGGTTTTCGTTCCTCTTAGTTTCCTTTATAATTTCTAGTTTCAGGCCAGGCACGGTGGCTCATGCCTGTAATCCCAGCACTTTGGGAGGCCGAGGCAAGAGGATCACTTTAGGCCAGGAGTTTGAGACCAGCCCGGGCAACATGATGAAACCCCATATCTAGCAAAAATACAAAAATTAGCGAGGTGTAGTGGTGTGCACCTGTAATCCCAGCTACTTGGGTGACTGAGGCATGAGAATTGCTTGAGCCTGGGAGGCAGAGGTTGAAGTGAGCCGAGGTCACGCCATTGCACTCCAGCTTGGGCGACAGAGTGAGACTCTGTCTCAAAAAAAAAGAAAAAAGAGAAACAATGTCTAGTCTTGTCATCATTTCTAATAAGAAATGTGTCCTGAGCATTTGCTATTCATTATCTGCTGCCTCCATCCCAGAGAGTCTGTAATGCAGTTCTCTGGTCCTAGTTCTCATTGCACATGAGATGGAAATTGTAGTTCAAAAGAGTAGGTGACTAGTGCCGGCTGAGTAGCCGGTCAATAAGGGTCTTAGTGCTAATTGCTAACCCTTGAGCTTTGAATATTTGTCTCTTTCCTGATGACCCAAGGCTTTCTGCCAAGTAGCTAATCTGTAAACATATGCTTAAATATACTCAAGGCGTTCCTATTATTAAAGCACTATTTTGATTGTACTCTTGATTCCCTGATCAAAACTTTCCATTAACTACTGAGAAAAGTCCAAAGCACTCAAGCTGAAATTTCCAGCTTTCTAAAGTCAGATCTCTATTTGCCTTTCCAACCTTATCTTCTGCTATTCTCCTGTGCACTCCAGAAATTTCAATCAAAAAGAGCTACTCAATACTCCCTGCAGTGCTGGCATTGCTCTGCCTAACCCTTGCTTATCTCTTTCAATATTTCAGCGCCATCCTCCCTCCCCTGAGAGGCCCGGTCAGGTGAAATGTTTAGGAAGAACCAGCCTGTGGTAAGGTGAGAACAGGGAAGGGGGTGGATCTGCGCTTCAGTTGCGATGGGATAATTAACATAAAAATGCATCACTCTTGAAGATTTTTCTCTACTTCTCTCATGCTCCTGTTTTCTTACTTTCAGTTAACATCGCTTTTTTTTTTTTTTTTGAAATTGAGACAGTCTCACTTTGTCACCCAGGCTGGAGTGCAGTGGCACAATCTCAACTCACTGTAACCTCCACCTCCCAGGTTCAAGCTATCCTAGTGCCTCAGCCTCCTGAGTAGTTGGGATTACAGGCGTCTGCCACCACGCCCGGCTAATTTTTGTATTTTAAGTAGAGATGGGGTTTCGTCATGTTGGCCAGGGTAGTCTTGAACTCCTGGCCTTGAACCATCCATCCACCTTGGCCTCCCAAAGTGCTAGGATTACAGGTGTGAGCCACCATGCCCAGCCTGGTTAACATCTTTTTATCATGATTTTCACAAGGGTCGTGTAAGCATACCTTCAAAACGGATGGGGTGTGCTCAGGGAGAGTGCCTGCTCCTCTCACTGCAGCGCCACCTGCTGTGTTCAGCCTGCTTTGTCTCTGCTCATGGATGGCTCACCCTTCTCAGTTCCAGCTCCTGCCCCCACTGGATTCCCATGAACTTCCTTTGTAACCAGTGGTACGGTAATGAGGTCCTTCACACATGCAAATATTCTCTAAGTATTTCGGTTCCTCCCTCACCTGTTGTTTGGGAGCTGGGATTCTGCTTTATAATCATCTGTACCTCTTCATCTCCTAGCACAGGGCTTTGCCTGTGGTACATGGCATTGAACCCATCAAATAAAAGCAACCAAAGGGCAAAATATTTTTGCAATCTGAAGAATATATTTACAATGAGAAACATCACTTGTAGCTGCCTGTAGTATATGGCAAACACTGTTGAAACAGAGCCACATGTATGGATGGTCGAAATGTTTTCCTGTTTGTTCACCCTGTCTCCATTTTTACCTAAGTATGGAAGAAGGCAGGTGTCCGCTTTGGTCCCATTTCATCTGGGCAGTGGTAGAAGTGGCCTGTAATTCATGCAGTAGGTTGCTTTGTCTGTAAAGCGCCAAAGAATTGATATCACTTGTTGTTGTTGTTTTTAATTAATGAGTTGACTTCAGCAAACCATGGTTTGGGTATCTCAAAACAGCTTGAATCTGACCAAAGAGAAAGACTCACAGAAAAACAAAGAAATTTCATGTAGTGTATGAGGTTTCATCTTTGAGCAGGAAGTTCCCAAGATTTCAAGGCAGAAGCACAGAAGAGTAGGTGTAGAAACGTCAGCAGCACCAAATTCTTATCCTCATTCTGACCCCAAAACTCTTGGGTCTTCATGAGAGGAGTCTTTTCTTTCGTTGAGTCTCTTCTTTGCACAGGCAGTCGCTAGGAGGTCACTTTCTTCTGTCTCCTTTGCCCTCGAAAGGATGTTTTAGGAGGCCACGTCATGATAATCCGGTCCTCCTGAAGAACAGGTCAGAACAACATTAAATGGTTTATTTGCTTCCTGAACCTGTGTTTGTTGCCTTCCAAGGCACTGGAAAACCAAAGGTTGCCTTTCTGCTGCTGTGAGAAATTATTCTGTTTAGAATATTTGATCACACACCCAAACAGGTGCCAAATGGAAAATATCATGCTAGATGTCAACCCAGGCAGCAGAAAGTTGGCCAGGACACTACATCTCTGAATTTAAATGGTCCAGAACTTCACATTTTTCCTGAATGGTCTTCTTATGCCAACTCTTCAGAGATCATAGAATCCTAGAGTGCTGAGCAAACAGATATCCTGCAGCTCACTGCATTCATCTTTCAGAAATCCAAACAGGTTAGATGATGTCTCTAGCAATTAATACCCAGTGGCAGATCCAGTTCTAGAAGAAACCTAGGAGAATCCAGGTGTTCTACCTGCAAACTGTGACCAAAAAAGTGATCTCTACTCATATGCTTTGTGTTATTTCAGAGCCTAGGATGGAGACATTTTATTTCAGAAGTGATGACCCACTCCTAGCCAATTTCAGCAGATAACATGGAACAAGCTAAATCTGTTGCAGAAAAATAGATAGTATTTGTCAAATACAGAAAGGGGGGTGTTGAATATGCATTAGGTCAGACTCCAAATTTTTCTCCCCAAACGGTTGGTTGAGAACAGTCACATGTTTTATAGTCATGTATCCCAGAACTGTCTGTTACAGCAACACCTTCAGATTCCTCACAGGCTGGATGTGGAGGCTCAGGGCTGTAATCCCAGCACTTTGGGAGACTGAGGCAGGAGGATTGCTTGAGCCCAGGAGTTTGAGACCAACCTGGGTAACATAGCAAGACTCCATCTCTACAAAAAAACTGAAAAATTAGCCAAGCACGGTGGTGTTCACCTGTAGTCTCAGCTACTCAGGAGGGTGAGGTGGGACAATCATTTGAGCCTGGAAGGTCGAGGCTGCAGTAAGGAGTGATCACACCGCTGCACTCCAGCCTGGGCAACAGAGCAAGACCCTGTCTCCAAAAAAACAAAAATGAAAACAACAACAAAAAACACTCCTTGCCTATCTTTAAGAGATTAACTACATGAGCAGGCTTTCATGAGCAGCTGAATTTTTACCCTGGATGCATTGTGAGCAAGCTTCTTGGAGTCTGGTGAGCCTTTTGACTGTAAACCAAAAAAAAAAAAAATTTTTTTTAAATAAATAACTGAGGCAAGTCTCAATCATTTTTAGAGGTTTATTTTGCCAAAGTTGAAGACATGCCTGAGGGAAAAAAAGGGTAAAAACCACAGGAAACATTTGTGTTCTGTGATTTTTTCCCAAAGAGGGTCTGGGGACTTCAATATTCAAAGAGAAAAAGAGCAGGCAGTAGGGGAAAAAGGAAGGAGGAAAAGAAAGGGAAAGGGTAGATAAAAGAGGCAAACAGTTGCATTCCTTTGAGTCTTTTGATCAGTGAAGACACTTTTTTCATGTAAGGAGGGAGGAGAGGAATAGTCAATTATGCGTTTGTCTTGGGCTCAGTGAATCTCCATTTTTACATAAGGTAAAATAAACATAGGAAGTAGAGGAAGCAGTTAGATATGCATTCATCTCAGTTGAGCAGAGAAATGATGACTTTTAGTTCTTGGTTTTCGTTCCCTCTCTGCAGAAGACTAGCTGTTAATTTATTAACACATTGTAGGGTGAAATTCAACAGAACTGTCTTAGGGTAAAAATCTTGGGGCTCACAAGAGATTTCCTTGTGAGGAAATTGTGAGGGAAGAACGTAGCCTTTTATCTTGTAGCTATGTATTTAGGAACAAAGTGGAAGGCAGGTTGGCCTGACCCAGTTCCCAGCTTAATGTTTCCCTTTGGCTTAGCAAGTTTGGGGTCCCGAGATTTTATTTTCCTTTCAGATGCCACAGGAAACGTAACAACTGTAGAAGGGAGATTTCTGAGCTGGGCCTCTCAAGACCCATTTGACTACAAGGTCAGAGAGAGAATGCTGGTCCTCATAGGCCTGTCCTGAGTCTGCTCTGGACACCTGGAGGCCACAGCTGCAAGAGGGACGGTGAGGTCAGTGACCAGAAGGAAGGTATCACTAGGGAAAGAGCATGGAACCCTCAATTCCAACTGTAACCCTTACCAGCCCTGTTATGAACTGGAAGCTTGTGTCCCCTGGAAATTCATATGATGAAATTCTAACCCCCAACGTGATGGTCTTAGGAGAGGCATTTGGGGGTAAGTAGGTCATGAAGGTGGAGCCCTCACAAATGAGATTAACACCCTTGTAAGAAGAGATACGAGAGCTTGCTCACTCTTTCAGCTCTTCACCACGTGAAAATGCAATGAGAAGGCATCACCCACAAACCCAAAAGTGGCCTGGAAAGTCCAAGATCAAGAGGTTGGAATATCTGGAATCTGGTGAGGGCTGCTTCCTGGCCATCCCTGGATGTTATTTCCTTAGGCCCCTAGTCTACTAGTGGTACCCTGAGCCCTTCACTGGGGCACCCCAAGTAGCCTTGCCATCACCTGGTCCTCAGTAAAACCCCTATCCCCAAGTTCAGTTAGGTGTTAGAAAAGAAAGATGTCTGATTGAGTGGGTCCACACTCAATAGCTATTAGCTTCAGAGTCCTCTGGGAAATATGTATGTTTTGAAAAAAAGGAGCTCAATAACCAAGATGAATCGCAAATCAGTTGAATTTCAGACAAGATAAAAAGTTCAAAAGGGAGTGTTCTGAGAAGCCATGATGGGCCAGGAGTGATGGTTCATGCTTATAATTCTAGGACTTTGGGAGGTCCACATGGGAGGTCTACTTAAGGCCAGGAGTTCAAGACCAGACTGGGCAACATAATGAGATCCCCATCTCTATAAAAATTTAAAAATTTGGGCATGGCGGCTTGTGCCTGTAATCCTAGCACTTGGAGAGGCTGAGCCAGGCAGATCACGAGGTCAGGAGATTGAGACCATCCTGGTTAATACGGTGAAACCCCATCTGCACTAAAAATACAAAAAAATTAGCTGGGTGTGGTGGTGGGCGCCTGTAGTCCCAGCTACTCGGGAGGCTGAGGCAGGAGAATGGCATGAACCTGGGAGGCAGAGCTTGCAGTGAGCCGAGATCGTGCCACTGCACTCCAGGCTGGGCGATAGAGCAAGACTCCGTCTCAAAACAAAACAAAACAAAAATCTAGAAATTTAAAAACAATTAGTCAGGCATGATGGTGCACATCTGTGATCCTAGCTACCCAGGAGTCTGAGTCAGGAAGATCACTTGAGCCCAAGAGTTTGAGGCTGCAGTGAGCTATGATCATGCCATGGCTGGAGCTATGATCACTCCAGCCTGGGCAACAGAGCCAAACCCTATCTCAAAAAAAAAAAAAAAAAAAAGAAAGAAAGAAAGAAAAGAAAAAAACCTACAAAAACAGAGGAACCATCACGACAGTTTCACTTGCGTCCATGTGAAGAGACCGCCAAAGAGGCTTTCTGTGAGCAACAAGACTGTTCATTTCACCTGGGTGCAGATGGGCTGAGTCCG